TTGAGACAGGGCTTTTCTGCGTAGCCCTGTCAGTCCTGGAAGTTTCTGTAGACCAGGCTGACCTCCGACTCACACAGAGGTCTGCTTGCCTCTGCCTCCAGACTATTGCGATTAAAGGCTTGCGCCACCGCCACGCAGTGGCAAGGATAACGCTCGCTCTGTCTTTGCAGCCTCCGTCATCTGTGTGCTGTGTTCTTCCAGCTTCGGAATGGCCTGCTCCATGCACCTGGTCCTCCTTGTCGCCATCTTGCTGAGCCTGGCAGGGACGCCCGAGACTGTGCCTGTTCGCAGGGTAACTAACGCCTCCCTTCTGAGGAGAGGTTTTACATTGTTTTTTTCTGGTTTGATCCAGGGGGTCTTGTAGGGGACAAGCTAATGTCATAAACCTGAAAAGAAAGACGGGGTGACCTCATCAACTTGGCCCTGGGAGTGGAGTGGAGGACAGGTGAAAAATAGATGGTTGGGACTGAGTTTCTTCAGCCCAGTGTGATGGCGCCTGCCAGTCATCCCAGCGCTCGGGAGCTCGGGAAGCCGGGAAGCCAAGGCAGAAGGGTTGTGAATTCAAGGCCAGTGGACAACATAGTGAGATTCTAATCAAAAATAAAGAGATAAGAAAAGAGAGGGGCTGGAGACATGGCTCAGCGGGTAAGAGCACTGACTGTTCTTCCAGAGGACCCAGGTTCAATTCCCAGCACCCATATGGCAGCTCACAACTGTCTGTGACTCCAGTTCTAAAGGATCAGGCACCCTCACACAGACATACGTGCAGTCAAAACACCAATGTAATATAATAAATAAATATTTTAAGAAAGAGAGGGAGAGAAAAGGGTGACGAGTGTAGCTCAGTTGGTGGTGTGCCTGTCTGCGAGGGAGAAGCTCCAGGTCCCATCCCCAAGGGCATGGTGGTGTGTGCCTGTAATCCCAGCACTCAGGAGGCAGAAGCAGGAGGGTCAGACATTGGAGAGTAACTTGAGCTAGTCCTGTTTCTTACAGTCTGTCTGTCCGTCTGTTGTGGGGGTTGTGCATGTTGCAATGGGAGTGTGGAGGTCATAAGATAACCTGCAGGAGTAACATCTGTTCTTCCATGTTCTGCTTGAACTAGGTCATGCTTTCACCAAAGCATCTTTACCCACTGAGCCACCTTGCCCGGGCCCTCCACTTGCTAGGTTATAGGAGATCCTAACTGCACAGGGCTGAACTAGGGACTAAGCAGAGCTGTGTCACCGGCTAGTATCAAGGCGATATTGTGATCTGCATCACCCTAGACTTCTGGGATCTTGCCACTTTCTTATCTTGGTCCACTTTTCTTCATCTCTTCCAGGGACGAGGAGGATGGACCCTCAATAGTGCTGGTTACCTCCTGGGTCCTGGTAAGCACTTTTTCTCCATACTCTGCCCTTCACTCATGCCTACCTGATGCCAGTTGTGTTGTGACCCCGACAAAGATGCGGAATCAGTGGCTTTTACATCACTATGACCAAAATGCCTGATAGTCAAGGGTGGAAGGATTCATTGTGACTCATGGTTTCAGAAGGGTTCACTCCATCATGGTAAGCAAGGCTTGGCAGGTCAGTGTGCATCGCAGAAGAGGGAGGGTGTGGAGGAATTCAGGGATCACTGTGTAGCCAGGACTATAGGTCAGACTACAACCTTCAAAGGCTTGCCCTTAGTGACCCATTTCCTTTGGTTAGACCCCACCTACGAAAGGTTCCACAGCCTTCTAGAAATTCTAGGGGAATGAACAAGTGTTCAAAACCTGAGCCTGATGTGGGACGCCTCTCTGTATGCTGTGAATGCGTTTTTTTTTCTTTTGTTTATTAATTATTTTTTTTTGTCTTTTTTCTTTTTTTATTTTTTTTGGTTTTTTGGGGTAATTCTATTATTAATTTTTGGAGAAAGAAGATGGAGTCAGGGAGATGCCAACAGCTGCCGAGGAAGCAAGATGTGAGGTAACAAGCCATGAGCCTCATGGTAAATATAGAATGATAGAATTGGGTTAATTTAAGTTGGAAGAGCTAGTTAATAATAAGCCTGAATTGATAGGCCAAACAGTTTGTAATTAATATTAACTTTCAGAGTGGTTATTCAGAAACTGCTAGGTGGGAGAGAAACCTCCATGTACATGAGCCTGTAGGGGGTGGTTCAGATTCAAGCGATTCCCTCTGTAGTCCAGGCAGAAGGCTGCAGGCAGGGCCTGCAGTGATATTCAGGGTTAGTCTCCCTTGGTCTCCATTTCTGGCTCTGAGACAGGGAGGACAATGGTGGTCCCCACATTGGGGAGAGGGTTATGAGGTTTACGTAAGTTGTCTACATAGCTCAGTTGGTAGAGCTCCTTCCTAGCTCACTGAAAACCTTGGGCTCGACGCCAGAACTGTATAACATTAGGTGTGGGATCGCAGCCCTCTGACCTCAGCACTTGAGAGGTACAGACAGGTGGATCAGGAATTCAAGGACGTCATGAGCTACTTTGGGAATTTGAGACCAGGGGTACCTGAGACTCTGTCTCAAAAAAAAAAAAATAATATAACAAAATGTTCATCAAAATGGCTCAGTGTGTAAAGGTACTTTTTGCCTGATGGTGCAAACCAGATACCCTGAGTTTGAGACTAAAACCCACATAAAGGGAGGGGGGAAGGGTTGACAAGATGGCTTGGTGGTATTTGCCTCTAAGCCTGATGACCTGAGCTCCCAGTAGCCACACGGAAGAAGGAGGGAACCAGTTCTTACAGGGTGTACTCTGCTCTCCACAGGGGTGAGGTGGCCTGGGTGAGCCTATGCACAGGGGTGAGGTGGCACGAGTGAGCTTATGCACAGGGGTGAGGTGTGGCACGGGTGAGCCTAGGCACAGGGGTGAGGTGGCCTGGGTGAGCCTATGCACAGGGGGAGGTGGCATGGGTGAGTTTATGCACAGGGGTGAGGTGGCCTGGGTGAGCCTCTCCACAAGGGTGAGGTGGCCTGGGTGAGCCTCTCCACAGGGGTGAGGTGGCCTGGGTGAGCCTCTCCACAGGGGTGAGGTGGCTTGGGTGAGCCTATGCACATAAACACATACACGATAAACAAAGGCCGAGGAAACATAGTTTTTAACAATGAGTTACACAATACACACAGTGGGTATCAGTTTCTCTGCCCACAGTGGGCACCATATAATGATTTAGATGTCATGCTTTCTGGTTTTTCTCCCACCCCTGCCTCTCCACTTCCCCAAATGAATCTTCTTTGGAGCACTTGCTCTTTGCCACCAAAGCCACCACACGCTATGCCGGAGGCTAGGCTCGGCTCGCTAGAAGTTAACCTGGGTTGGGTTGGTGGAGGCAGAGGTCAGTGGGCTCAAGGCCAGTCTAGTCTACGTAGGGAGTTCCAAGCCAGCCAGAACTACATTGTGAGAATTTGTCCCAAAATATAGAGGAGGCCACAGGTTAGGGCTTACGGAGTGTTCTCCGCATTTAGTCAGCACTCCTGCCATTTGAGCCTGGCGCCCGCCTGGCACTACAAACTGTGAGCCACACTGCTTCACTTTTCCTATCCTAAGTCTCCCGTGCTTTTATTATGAAATGAAGATCTGTTTCTCACAGGCTTCAGTTAGAAGCCAGAAAGTTGGCTAGATGAGTACAGACCAGGGTTCTATCGCCAGAAGGAGCAAACTGACTCCCTTTAAGTGTCCTGTGACCTTCATTCAAGTGCCATGGCATGTGTACTGCTCCCTACATCTCTCTCTCTCTCTCTCTCTCACACACACACACACACACACACACCTAACAAATAAGTGTAAAAGAAAGTAAGGAAACCCCATGTTGCCTTGACAACATGACAGGAAGAACTGAAAATGTGAGATTTGTCCTTAGACATAGGTGGGTTACTGTAGGTGGACCTGTCCCGACCGCCTGCTCCCAAATAATTATTAATTATTATAATTAATAATCTATAAGTTATAGATGCTTGGCCAATAGCTCAGGCTTGTCGCTAACTAACTTACAATTTAACCCATTTCTATTCTTCTGTGTGTTGCCCAAGGTTCGTGGCTCTTGCCCCTATCCCATCTTGTGTGTCCTACTTGCTCTCCGCCTGGCTGGCGACTCCTCTGCCTCTGCCTCCCTCATTCCATCATTCTCTGTTTGGCTCTTCTGCCTCTTTATCCTGTTCAGCTATTGGCCAGTCAGTTTGTTTATTAAGCCAATCGTAGCAACATACACCACATAGTGGGCAGAAGGATTATTCCGCAGCAGGTTACAATCCTAGGCTAAGCTAAGTAAATCAGGTCTGGTCAGTGCACATCCTATCCTTGTGGCTTTGGTTGGTGTGATTCTGCCAAATGCTAGAAGGGCTTGCTGGGCCCCGTGGGAGGTCATGCTGTTAAACAGCTCTCTTGCTTTATCCCTTCCCTTCTCTAGTCGTCCACCTTCCCTCAAATGCAGACCAAGGCAGGAAGAGGGACTCGGCTCTTGAGATCCTAGACCTGTGGAAGGCTATCGGTGAGTAGCGGTTTCCTGCATCTCCAGCATCCCCCTCTACATACCTTCTGGTTGACTTTGGAAACTGGTGGATGTGGGCGGCACCCCCTCACCCTGTCACTTCCTAGGTAGAAGAAAGAACTGTAATTCTGTCAAGCTTTTCATTTCTCCCCAGGTAAAATCGTAGCCACTATCTCCTTTGGGTGTGGTGGTCCATGCCTGTTATCTCACTTGGGATCCCAGGCAGGAGCATCAGGAGTTTAAGGTTACCTACAGTTACCTGGTGGTTTCTAAGCCGTTCTAGGTTACATGATACCCCTTCTCCACACTGCCTCCCCAAGAAAGAACAGAACCAGAAAGATAGCTCAGTGGGTAAAGGCACTTGCTGCCTAGTCTGGCCACTCGAGTTTGATATCCAAGACTGACAAGATGGAAGGGGAGAACTGATTCCATAGGTTGTCCTGTGATCTGCATACCTGTGCCAAACAAGCACACATACATACACACTTCCCACACATACCAATACATACACACATATCCATCACACATACACATATATACCCATTCACCACACATACACCCACACATGCAGTCACACAAAGGCACACAAACACCACACATACACACACACCACACATACTTACACACAAATGTACACACCACACATACATGCACACAAACACCACACATACACATACATACAATACACCATACACCATACATACTTACACACAAACACACATACATGCACACAAACATCACACATACACACACATACTTACACACAAACACATATATACTCACCACACATACATATACACACATATACAATGAATAAACAAAAATGTAATAGTAATAATAATAATAAAATTGTAATTAACTATGCTAGGCCTGGGAAGACAGCTCAGTCATAAGGTGCTTGCCATGCAAGCATGAAAACCCAAGCTCAGAACCTACACAAGAAAGCTGGGCAAGGCGGTGTGAGTCTGCAATCACAATGCTGGGACACAGGGCCCTGAGCTTCCTGACCGGCCACTCTAACCAAACCCTTGGTTTCCGCAAGTGCTCGTGAGCATGCTCAGCAGCCCATGCTCACTTCCAAAACCCTAAACAATCTGGCTCACCGTGGAACCACAGTTCTCCCAAGAGAGAGTCTTGGCCGCTGGCTGGGAGGGGCCAGGGAGTGCTCCCCTCCCCGCTAGTGCCCAGCAGTTCCTGCCCAGAGCTGCCTCCTCCTTGTCACCTGCAGGGGGCAGTGCTGAACCCATGTGCCTTGGCTTCCAAGGTTGGTTTTGTTGAGGGTTGGAGCTGGGTCCCTCTTGGCTGCTGGGGGCCCGATCCTAGGTGGCACTGCAGCATATCTGGTTTCTACGCATCCGAAGCTGAGCGCGTTCCCTTTCTGCTCAGCCATGGAGGTCCAACACTTCCCCAGATATGGCTGAATGTCTCTCACAAGGACAAAGGCCTGACTGAGAGCCACTGGACACTCAAAGATTCCAAGGGGATAAAGAAAGGGAAACCACATATTGACCATCATGAAACCTCTGCATTTACTTATCTGCCTATTTTGTTTATTGTGCATGTGTGTGCACATGCCACAACTCTGTGTAGAGGTCGGAGAGCAACTGATGGGAGAGTCAGTTTTCTCCTTCTACCACGTGGATCATGGGAAAGAAACTCAGCTACTGTTGCACTGGCTCGCTGGCCCCTCTTTGGCATTTTAGTGCGTCATGATTGTTAAAAATAACCCTTAAAAGAGCCTCTCTGCCGGTGTAAAGAACTCCAATCAAACCAGATTAGACTAAATCAAAAATGCCCATGTTTAATGCCACATTCCTGAGTGGATGGAGACCACATGGCGGGGAGAGGAGCCCATGCAACCCCGAAGACCACGTGTTTCTTTTTCCAGTGCGAGCCTAAATACCCTGTGGGAGTGGTCCTGACCCTCTCTGGGGAGGGGTCAGTGCTTGGCAGGCTGGGAGTTGGAGTCCGGACCGGGGCAATTCCCAGGCCAGGGGCTGGGGTGACACTTCCAACTCAATATTACATTCTAGACTCTTTGGATATAGGGGTGTTAGAGGGCCAGGGCCCCACTTTTGACCGAACAATGATTTCTCGTCCCTTTCCCTAGATGGACTCCCTTATTCCCGCTCTCCACAGATGACCAAGAGGAGCCTGGTAGAAACGTTTATCAGACCAAAGAATGAAGGTAAAGATGGGGAACGTAGGCGAGGAGGGAGAAGAGGGGAAATGAAAGGATGGGTGAGCGGCAGGAAGCTTGGGGAAGGAGTGGCAACCAGCCAGGAGAGTCCCTCTGCAAGCCCCTCTCGCTTCACACACCTGCCTCTCCCTTCATCTCTTGCCTTCATCTCTCAGGTCAACAACAATTCCTTCACTTCAGATTCGGCCTCAGGGACCAACTCTAATTCCCCATGCTGTCCCAAGATCTTACAATTGAGCACTTTCCCATTTAAGGCCCTAGACCAAAGCTTGATAGTGCCTCTGTTTCTAAGCCTTGCATGGTCAGACTCCTCGAAGTCCTTCAGAAACTAGTTGAGCTGGGTGCTGGTGGCGCACACCTTTAATCTCAGCCCTCAGGAAGTAAGGGCAGGCGGATCTCTGTGAGTTTGAGACCAGCCTGGTCTACAGAGTGAGTTCCAGGTCAGGCTCCAAAGCTACACAGAGAAACCCTGTCTCGAAGCCGCCCTTCCCCAGTCTGTAGCTAAGGAGGTGACTCAATTGGAAAAGATCTTGCTACGCAGGTGAGGAGACTTGAGTTCGGATCTCCAGCACCTACATAAAAGTAGGGATCCTAGGAGATGATCCTAGTCTAGCTGCTTTTACCAGGCTCCAGGTTCCACAAGATACCCTGACTCAAAAACTAAGGTAGGAAGAGGGAAGAAGGCTCAGCAGTTAAAAGCGCTTTACTGATCTTGCAGACGAACCAGATTCTGTCCCTAGCACCCACAGAGTGGCTCACAACCATCACTCCATTCTCAGAGAAACGACACCCTTTTCTGGCCTCTGCGGGCAGCAGACACACATGTGGTACACCAATATATATATGGGCAAAACACAAATAACACACAAAATAAATCTGAAATATTAAAAACCAGTACACTGTGGTCCGACGTGGGGACAGAGTAAATGGATTTGTAAGGCACCCAGGCCTCTGCATCATTGGTAGAGTGGAGTTATGCAAAGTCCACCTGCTGGGGCCAGAAAGATGGCCCAGAGGCTGAAGTCCTTGCCCAGAAAGCCAGGTAACTGGGGTTTCATTTCCGACACCCAGGTAAAGGGTGGCCCCACAAAAGAAAGAACTGACCCCACAAAGTTGTCTTCTAACCTCCACACATGCACCACAGCAATACTCACACCTCCTACACCCCCACACCACACATACACCACGGCACATACTCACACCTCCTACACCCCCACCACACATGTACCACAGCATATACTCACACCTCCTACATCCCAACACCACACATGCCACGGCACATACACCTCCTATACCCCACACCACATACCACACATGCCACGGCACATACTCACACCTCCTACATCCCCACACCACACATGCAATGCTAATAATAAATTTTAAAACTTAAAAATTGAAAGGACCTCAATAGGACACCCCAAGTCCAAGTTCTTAGCACAAAGGAGATTTATTTGCCCCAGAGTGAGAGAGGGCAGGGAATAAGAGACAGAGATGGGAGATAGGGGACCAGGGAGAAGGGGAAGGGAACAAGGGAGGTGGGACGGGTGTTTGTCCCGGAGGAACAAAGGACTGCCTCAGGATAGAGAGGAGACAGAAACAGACATGGCCCATGAACAAATGGTAGTTTATTTATTTATTTAGGTTTTTCAGGACAGGGTATCTCTGTATAACCGTCCTAGCTGTTCTGGAACTCGCTCTGTAGACCAGGCTAGCCTTGAACTCAAACAGATTCACCTGTGTCTCCCTCCTGAGTGCTGGGATTAAAAGACGTGCACCACCACCAGCTGAGCATTTAATTTTAATTAGGCATGTTAATTAGGGTAGCCAAAAGGGGGCTTTGACTGCTGGACTTCAATACTTTGATAGCTGGACCTTGGTAGTCAGTCTTAGGAGAAGGATATGGGGGGCTGAAGAGATGCCTCAGAGGTTAAGAACACTGGCTGCCCTTCCAGAGGTCCTGAGTTCAATTCCTAGCAAACACATGGTGGCTCACAGCCATCTATACTGAGATCTGGTACCCTCTTCTGGCCTGCAGGGATACATGCAGGCAGAACACTGTATACTTAATAAGTAAATAAATAAATCAGAGAGAGAGAGAGAGAGAGAGAGAGAGAGAGAGAGGAGAGAGAGAGGAGAGAGAGAGAACTGTAATCTAATGGTTTTTAGCAAGGGGAGGGGAAGGTAAAAGTAAAACCTGTCAGCGCCATGTTTGTCATTGCTTGTGCCTGCTAGAACCCTTCAAACATTAACCCATCTGCCGTTGCTCTCCTGTTACAGATCTGCACGTCCTGGACAGGGATATTCACAGGGAAGCCGCCCTAATAGAGACTTAGCCACGCCTCACCCCTCACTCTTTTCCAGCTCATCCGGCCTTCCACCCCCTCTCATTGCTCTGAAACCAAGACCCTACAAAACTATCCCCAAATCTCACTACAACATGTTGTAATATTTAAAGAATTATGCGGATCTAACTCTGGAGTGTTTCTGGTTTGATTGATTATTCTTGGGGTAAGTCTAAGGTGTCATGGGGGACTGGAAAGATGAGTCCGTTGTACAGAGAAAATTTTGCTCTTCCAGAAGACATGAGTCTTGTTTCCAGCACCCACACTGTCCGGCTCGTAGCCCAGGGTAACTCTAGTGCCAGGAGCCCTGACACCTTGGGGCTCTAATGCCTCTGGCCTCCATACCTACATTGTCGGGCTCGTAGCCCAGGGTAACTCTAGTGCCAGGGGCACTAACACCTCTGGCCTCTGTAGCCACCAGCATTGCTTTCACAAATTCACAGACACACTCGCGTGCTGAATCTTAATACATCAATAATAAAAAAAAATACTTTTTAGAAAACGAAAAATTGGGGGCTGGAGAAACAGCTCATGGGTTAAAAGTATTTCCTGCTCTTACAAAGGACCTGTGTTCCATTCTTAGCATCCATGTCCAGGGTTCACAACAACCTGAAACTCCAGCTCCAGGGAACCCAACGGCTCTAGCCTCCAACGGCACCTGTACTCAGGTACACACAGCCACATGCAGACACAAAGGACATTAAGGGATCTAAGAGTCCTAAGGGGACACTTTGAGGCAGGTGGGCAACCATAGAACCTTCCTGCAATATATTCTGGCTAATTGCATTTAAAAAAAACCTCTTATATTTATTTCTAGTCCTGGGAATCGAACCCAAGTCATGAGGATGGCTGCAATTGTCTTTACTGGTTGAGCCATCTCTCTGGCCCAGACTAATAGCATTCTTTTGGGATAATTCTCTGGTCTTCAGCCAACACCTAAGTGTCTGAGAGTCTTTGCTTGAGAAGACTCTCTGAGGCATCATTGCTGCTTCTGCCCCCACGTCAGAGAAGACCGTTTTGCACTAGACCTTGTTAAGCTGTGGATCAGCGACTAGGCACTGCAGACTTCAAGGCCAGCTTCGGTACTAGGATCAGGTTCACCTAATGTTAGGCTGTGCCCCACCCAACCTGCCTGCCTGTTCCTAGTGGCCCCTGTATCTTGTCCCCCTCACAGAACAACTGAACAGGGTCCCTTAACCTATACTCCCCAACCTTCTCCTTTCCCAAACTGCCAAAGAGCTAGACGGGCAGGGGTTGGGACAGGGTCGGAAAGAAGGCCCCGTTTCTTTGCAGCCGCCTTCATCTCCCGGCTTCCATTTCCCGGGTTTTGGACAATGTATGCATATTGCACCAATACTCAGTCCCAAGCAGAGAAGAGACCTCCCCTTCTGCCGTGAGTTAAGGAAAGCTAAGCTTTCCTAGGTAAGGTGGTTGTTAGAAGACCGCTAAAGCCAGGCAGTGGTGGCGCACGCCTTTAATCCCAGCACTTGGGAGGCAGAGACAGGCGGATCTCTGTGAGATCAAGGCTAGCCTGGTCTACAGAGCTAGTTCCAGGACAGGCCCCAAAGCTACACAGAGAAACTCTGTCTCAAGAAAGCCAGAAGCTGAGGATGTTCTTGCTTAGCATGTATAAAGCCCTGGGTTTGATCCCCAGTTCCTCATAAAAATCAGGTGAGATGGTGCAATGCCTTGGATCCTAGCATCTGGACTCCCAAAGAGAAAAAGAAGGTAGAAGGGAGGGGAGGAGAAACCACTTTAGAGACAAGACATGGGAAATCCTTAAACAGGAAGTGTGGGGGTGTGACCACATGCAGAGGAGGACACAAGACACTGATGTGTGGTCCTGAAACAGGGAGCGCGTGTGCGTCCGCGTGCGTGTTTGTGTGCGTGTGTGTGTATATGTGTGGTGTGCGTGCGCGTGCAGGGAGAATCCCATGAAGCAAAGATCCCTGAGCTGACACTGCTGAGTCACTGCTGAGTGGGCCCTGGTCACCACAACTGAGTCCCATTTTCCAGGGGAAACCCAGCCTCACAAATGCCCCAAGGCTATATTCACACAGTGTCCTCCCCTGTTTATTATAAAAATCTGCTGTTTCTGGCCTCTCTGCCCAGCTCTCTGGAAAAAAGGGATGGATTCTGAGCTTGACTTCCTATTTTATCTTGCAAACAAACCACATTTTGTATTAGGGATGATGGGTCCACAGGGGGTCGTGCAAAGATGCGGGACAGACCATTCTATTAAATCAGAAGCAGACTTTATTCCAGGAAACATGGGGGCACAAAAAGCTTATCAGCTAGCTAAGCCCACAGCCAGAGATGGACTTGTAAGGCTGTGGCCATGCGCTGTTTCCCAACTCCCCTTTTTATAGCAGGAAGCAAGCATTATGCATGAACAAAAGAATTTTTATAATATCAAAGTAAAACTCAGATACAAATTGTGCAAATCACCTTTTAAACAATTTCCACTAACAGGGTTTTTTTTTTTTAACTAGTGTTTGTATTTAGCCCACTGTCTTTTTCTGACACTTTCTGATGGTGTTTACCAAAGCTCTATATTCCCCTGATACTGTCAGTTTTGTGTAGCAGGGAAGAGTATGGGAAAATGTACAACCAGGAAGTCAGATACATCCCATCATTTCAAAGTTAACTCAGCTCACATCAATTGCTGGTCATGAGTGGCCTGAGGTTATCTAAGAGCTGATCCTCAGTTTGCAGAGGGACCCCCATTTTGCAAAGGGACCCTCAGTTTGCAGAGGGACCCCAGTTTACAGAGGGACCCCAGTTTGCAGAGGGATCCTCAGTTTGCAGAGGGACCCCAGTTTGCAGAGGGACCCCAGTTTGCCGAGGGACCCCCAGTTTCAGCCTTGCAGAGCTGTGGGTTGTAAAGCAGAATAACAGTTAATCCTTAAACGGCTGAGAAAGCTGCTGACAGCCTGCTCTCATTCTCCTAGGCTGACAACTTTATATTTCTTTATCACTACATTCATGTCAGGGTCTGTGGCCCTACTGCAGCCAGAGGTCTGTGCTGATGTCTGAGGCTCCTGCTACCACTGAAGGTGCCGTGCAGACACCTGAGACTGAGGGCCATGTTGGTGTCTGCGGGCCATATTGCCCTTAGAGCTTGTGCGGGTCTGGGTGACCTATACTGACACCTGAGGCAGTGGTGACATCTAGACCCAGCTGCTGCTGAGGACCATGTCTGGGTCTGTGGTTCTACCACGGCTGGAGTCTGTGCTGAAGTCCTAGTCCCATATTGCAGCCAAAGGTCACATAGAAGCCCATGACCTGAGGCCTTGGTGGTATCTGGTGGCAAGAACCATCCAGACCTGAATGGCCATTCCGTCCACCCAGAGACAGGATGTCATCCAGGCCCAAGCTACCACAGAGGGCCATGTCTGGGTCCGTGGTCCAGCTGCAGCTGACGTCTATGGTGATGTCTGTGGCTTGTGTCACCTCAGGAGGCTTTAGGAATGATTGCAAGATGAAATCAGAGGGCCCTGCTGAGCTGGCCCTGCCCTTTTCCCAAAGCCAAACAATGACAACCATGTATCTTCCTTACTCATCTAGCAAATAATTTGCCTTTAGAAAACTATAAGAATAAAAANTACCTTTAGAAAAATATAAGAATAAAAAGGTAAATGTAAAGCCCTGCAGAGATGAAATCCAACAGTTTTTCTCATTATTGAGGCATCAAATGCCTGACATTGTATTTAGATGTGTCTTGATACTGTGTCATAGGCTTGTCAGCAATTCCGCAAGTTCCTACTCCAACTTTGCCTGTTACACTTTCTGGCGAAGCAAAAATACTCCTCTTTACCTGGCCTTTTTTGTTTTTAGAATAAGCCCTGTTGTTGAACTGCTGCCATTTCACCTTCTGGTCCTCTCTTTCCCGCTCCAGTTCTTTTATTCTCTGTGCTTTTTTCAAAGCTTTTTTCTTTTTGTATTCACGTTGCTGGGCAATCATTTCTTTTTTTGACATAGGTTTGTTGCCACTGTCCTCTTTGGCCTTCCTTCCTTCTTCTACGGGTTTGAGGTTCAACAACGGAGTCACTTCGGCATTGCCATAACCAGCAAAGGTGATTGCAGAGGTGCCATTTTCTTCATCTATCTCCTCGATCTCTGCTTCGTAACACTGTCCCCCTTCACTCCAGATTGCCATACACTTGTCCCCTACTCTCCATGAATGAGTAGGCCGAGTAGGAGCAAAACTGTCTGAACTTGCAAGAGTTTCCGAAGGCTGAGTTGACAGAAGGTCTTTGGTCAATTCTATAACTTCTTGCAAGTCCTTCTTCAATTTCGACAGATCTTCATTTTCTCCGTTTCCAGACAGAGCAGCTTCTACTTGCTGGAGTTGGGCTTTGTAGCTAGCCAACTGTTTTGCTAGATCCTGGGACATCTTGGGCGGGGTTGGGGCCGGGACGGCGGGCAGGGGCCCGGGAAGCGAGCCCAGCGGCGGCAGGTGCAGCTGCAGCAGGGAAAATAGCCACGACGTTGAGAAGATTCGGTCAGAAAAGGAAAAACACCGCCGGCGCCGAGGGGTGGAGGGGAGTAAAGCCGGGCTCAGGCAAGAGGAATAGACAAGGCGAGAGAGATCTCACGAGGCCAACAAACTCTTGCGAATGTGCGCTTGCTTGGGTCCCGTGCCTCCAGGAGTCCTCTAAGTGGCTGGTGTCTGTGGCCTTGGAAGGCGGAGTGGGTCCGATTATTTGGTTTTTTAAGACAGGTTTTCTCTGTGTAGCCCTGGCTATCCTGGAACTTGCTCTATAGACCAGGTTAGCCTGGAACTCAGAGATCCGCCTGCCTCTGCCTCTCAAATGCTGGGATTAAAGGCGTGCGCTGCCACCACTGCCTGGCTCCTCGCAGGTTTTAGAAATATTCAGGGTGCTTTGCCTGCACACCACGTGTGTGGCTGCTGCCTGAGGCTGTCAGAATAGGGGCTGGGTGTCCCGAGACTGGAGTCACTGGGTGTTGTGATTCAGATCCTCCCAGGGGCCTCTGCAAGAGCAGTCAGTGCTCTTAACCACTGAGCCATCTTTCCAGCCCTGAAGCACAATTAATAAAAATTTGTAATTGGGTCAGTAATTGGGATTCAGCCTGAAGATCTGAAAAACAAAACAGCCAGCCACTGGCTCTTACTCCGACCTCAGTCTGAAAATGGCGATCCTGACTCCAGGAATCTCAGAATGAGACTGAGTCTGAGAGCTGTCTCCCCTCCATTTTATAGTCCTCTTTAGGACTGGGATTAAAGGCTGGGATTAAACTACTCTGTTTCTATGGCAGCTAGTGGGTCCCGGGATTCAAGGTGCCTGTCATTGTGGCTACTGGGATTAAAGGTGTGTGCTACCATAACCTGGTCTGTAAGGCTGACCAGTGAGACTGTTTTACTCTCAGATCTTCAGGCAGACTTTATTTATTAAAATACAATTGATGCCGGGCGGTGGTGGTGCATGCTTTTAATCCTAGCACTTGGGAGGCAGAGGCAGGCAGATCTCTGTGAGTTCCACGCCAGCCTGGTCTACAAGAGCTAGTTCCAGGACAGGCTCCAAAGCCACAGAGAAACCCCGTCTCGAAAAACCAAACTAAACAAAACAACAACAACAAAACCAATTGAAATGAAACTACACAGCCCCTGGTAACACACTTAAGCCAGAGTCATTTTAAAATCTGCACCACTCAAATTGCCCTTAAATGTTAAGCAAGTAACTTTATCTTAAATTCAAAACAAATGTGTCAAGACTCATAGAATATTTGGTATCCCTTGATTAGCACCATACAGCTTTTAAAACTATAACTGTGCCTACACTTCATTGTTATTTAATATTGAATCAATGACTTAGACTATAAGATACCTTCCTGAAATGAGATATAGGGATCTGTTCTGGTGCCCTTAAAAATTATTTGATCTTAGCTGGGCAGTGGTGGCACATGCCTTTTATCCAGCACAGGGGAGGCAAAGGCAGGCCGGTGTCTGTGGGTATGAGGCCAGCCTTGTCTACAGAGCGAGTTCCAACAAAGCCAGAGCTACACAGAGAAACACCATCTTGGAAAATAAAACAAAAAGATACTACAAAGGTTTCAATGAAGAGATGCTCGGACCAAATACAGGGATGTGGAGCCTCTGTACCCTCTCTAGATACCACTTTTTACATGACTTCAACATCCTAGAAGAAGCAGATCTCAGTTTTTTTTTTTTAAATTCATCCTTAAAAGTATTTATTTCTGGGATTGAATTAATGGGCCCAGAAAAAAGGTCAAGAGTGCTGGCTGGCCGCGACCTGCCGCCCCTCACCCGGACCGACGAGTCGGCACGGCTGTCCCGAGCGCCATGTCGGGTTCCTCTAGCGTCGCCGCCATGAAGAAGGTGGTTCAGCAGCTCCGGCTGGAAGCCGCTCAACCGCGTGAAGGTTTCCCAGGCAGCTGCAGACTTGAAACAGTTCTGTCTGCAGAATGCTCAACATGACCCTCTGCTGACCGGAGTGTCTTCCAGTACAAATCCTTTCAGACCCCAGAAAGTCTGCTCCTTTTTGTAGTCAGCTACCTTGAGGTTTCTTAAACCACTTTTCATGAACCAGTGGATATTCTGAAGTCTGTACAGAAGCTTCTCTAACACGTGCCATAATACACAGTCTTTACTTGTCAATCCTTAACATCTACCTCTCTGAATCTTCATGGATTTCTGTTTCACAAGGTTTAACTATTTTATATACACTGGCTGTAGCATACAATAAAACAGCATACAAATCTCAAAAAAAAAAAAGAGGAAGGCATGGGCCATGAGGACATTACATGAAATAAGCCAATTACAAAACACCAAATGCTCTATGATCCCACTTCTATGAGGCACCTAGAGGAGTCAAACTCCCAGAGTCAGATAGGAGAATGACAGTTGCTGGGCTGAGATGGGGCAGAAGGGAAGGTGTTAAGCGCCGAGTTTAAGTTCAAGACTGTATTTGCCAAAGTTTGGTTGCACAACAATGTGAACATATATAACACCTGGAGGTGACGGCACAGTTCACGTTTGGGGTATTTCTCTACAACTAAAAATAACAGAAGTTGTCTGTCAAGTACTTACAAAAGTGGACCAGGCTAGAAGCCAGAAATACAAGCACATAAAAGTAGGGGTGGTGTCTACCTTCCAGAGCCCACAGAGTGTCATCAATCAGTGGTCAGAATATGTAAGGCCGCAGCTGTAAGAAATGCTCAGGGCGGCCCTCCTGTGCACCCGAGACCTGTAGGATGCGCATGGGAGTCATGGTGGGGGGGATAGGGGCCTGGCTAGGAAAGGGAGAGATCTGAGCACAGCCCCTAAGGGATAGGAAGCTTAGAGCACGTTGGCCTTCTAGCTTTGACACTGGGTAGAGGCAAAGCCATCCCTGGAGGCAGAGACACTGAAGAGGACATGCTGGGTGAGAGAGGAGACAGGAATCTGTGCTGTTGGGATTAGCTGAGATACATTACATGGAACGTGGCTCAGTGCTGGCTAAGCCAGTTAGTGATCATGCACTCCCCACCCACCCTGTGCTGAATTCAAGTTCATCTTGGGAAGATTTCTCCATATAATGTTTCCACAACGCTGTGGCCACAATGAACAGCAATCAGAACAGAGTCAGGTGTGGTTGGTGTGCGGGGAGGGCATAAGCTTGAGGCTTGCTTCTCAGAGGGAGGCCCTGTCTCAAGCAAGCAAAACAGTAAGAGTTAAACTATATAATACTGTCCCCCACGAAGTCACCTACGTGTACTTCAGAATGCCTTCCAGTTTTGAGGTCCAGATAATAATGCTCTTGTCAGCAGATCCAGATGCAAAGCGCTTGCCTGCAAGGTTTTTAAAAAGAAAAATCATCACATGTACTTTAAACCAGCATTTTCCAGACAGCATGTCCAAGAAAACTAATCTTCAAAGCACCTAATTGGGTAGGAATGTAGTTCAGTTGACAGAGTAGCTGTCTAGTATATGAAGCCACAGGTTCAAATCCNCCCCCCCCCCCCCCCCCCCCCGCCAAGCCCTGGTAGTGGGGAACTAACTGAAGGTCTTAAACATGCTAGGCAAATACTACCACTGTCCTTAGCCCAAGAAGCCCCTTTTTTGTCTTAATCATGTCTTCTGTCATGTTATTTACGAAGAAAATCAAAGTATTCTACCTCACCACTGTCAGAAAAATTTTAGTTTACCAAGTCAAAATTCATGAAATTTAATTTAAAAATAGTTTCATACACACCCATTAATCCTTTAGGATTCAATTTTTTATACCCAATGAAGGAATTCTTAGGGATTTATGAAACACTTCTCAGACGCAGCATTCTCTTCTGTAGTAGTTCTGTGTGCAAGACTAAGGCTCACTACACCAAGGCTGGCAGCCATGGATTCCACCCCTTTGTTAACACACTGGAGATTTAAAAACACTTTATTTATTAAAGTTAAACATACAAAACTGAAATTAACACACACCCTAAAAATTGTCTTCTTCCAGTAACAGGAAGACCCTTTTTCTATCTCTGTTTTTGGCTTAAACTCAACTTGGGATAACTGTGGTACTCACTTATACCAACAAATGCTGGCAACTTGATCTAGTTAATAAAAATTACAAACTCAGCTACATGAACATAATATACAGGGAAATTATGGTCAGATTAATGCACAAGAAATACAGGAAAATTCAATCATGAAACATTCAGTACTCTTGTTCATTAATTTAGCCTTGGTTTTTTTACAAAAATAGTATCTACATTGTATACAGGGCTATACATCAGCTTTTTGTTTTCCCATATAAACATTACACATTCCCCAAAAATGGAAGCACTACCACAAGAGAAAAATCAACAAAGAAAAAAACAATACAAAACACCAAATAAACACGAGAGAAGGGGAGCACATCCTACACATGGTTTGTTTTTTAATATAAAATTCAAACTCAATGACCAAAAAATACAAGGTGAGTCAATTGTGGAAGTGACCTAACAGGCCCAGGAAAGAATTCAAGGAAAAACCTCAAACTAAACCCTGTCATTTATAAATTAACCCATGCTTGGGTTTGTCTGGACAATGGCCAGGTTATCATCAAACTGAAGATATCTTTAGCAGGCTGGCATTTTGCCATGATGTTCCAATGAACTGCCGGGATACATCAAGTGCAAAGCACCTGAAAACTCCAAATTAGGACTTACAAAATGTCTACTTAACATTAGTTAAGTAGGGGCCTGAAGTACACTAAGTCATCTAAGCGCTGATTTAAGCAGCATCTACCTAGAAAAGTTGCCTTGTTCAACAAACTCTGAGGGAACTGTGGTAAGTAGTAATGAAAAGTTAAATGAGAGCAGTTATCAAATGTCTTCAAGTTTCATTCTACCAAAGCCAAACAATGACAACAATGTATCTTCCTTACTCATCTAGCAAATAATTTACCTTTAGAAAAATATAAGAATAAAAAG